TGTTGGATGTGAACCCCCACACATCTTAAAGCTGCCATGGTTGAGAAACGCTGCTTTATGTGCATCCAGGAAAAGGTGGGGCTTCTCGAAGGAGATGCCAAGGGTGTGATGCGCACCCCATCCGCCCCCAAACACCTTTTCTCTGGGTTGATGCGCAGGGAGCGGGGCTCCTCCAGCAGCTTGGCTGACTGGCAGCAGACAATGATGGTTGGCTTCTGGGAGGTGCCTGGAGTCTCTGCTCCATCCTTGATGCCCAGGCCTTGCTAGAAGAGCGGACGCTGTTGGCCCTCTGGGGGTTGGGGAGTCAGGGCGGGTGCACCGCGGCCGCTGACCCCCTTGTTTCCGGCCAGGTGCGCGCACTGAATCCTGAGGGCTCTTTGTGCACCTTCGGGAGTGAAAAAGTCCGGCTGACCTACCTCAGAAACAAAGGCGCAGGTAAGGGGAGGCAGCGAGGCCGGCAAGGCGCCAGGCCCAGGACTCTGGGGAGGGGAGGGGAGCTGCGTTTGCACAACACGCTTGACCTGGGTCTGAAGGCACCTGGGTCCGCAGATTGCACTGCCTCAGAAACTGGGTTTGCGATCACAAAAAAGCTAACCCCACATAGAACTAACCAAGTTTAGCATGCTGGGCAAGTTTGGCCACCTAAATTGCCCACGAACATAGCTAAGGGTGTTGTGCAAATCTAAACTTGATGTGATGGGGCTGAGTCTGGATTTCCCTCCTTCTCCAGACCAGGATGAGCTTGAAATCCCCCAGACCACTGATAACAGCCGGCGGTACCTCATGAGGACTAGACACAAGCGACGCTTTTCTTTCCGGATCTCTGAGGAGGAGCGGCAACATCAGAGGAGGTGAGGCCGATCAGAGAGGGATGGCCTGTGGACTTTGCCGCAGCTGCTATTCGGAAGTTACACGGGTTGTTGCAAAACCCGGCCCCGTTCTCATTTACCCAACACATTCAGCGAGGTCAGTGGAAGGTTTGCATTACAGGTAGTCCTCACTTAAAAACTGTTCATTTAGTGACCATTCAAAGTTACAACGGTGCTAAAAGTGACTTATGACCGGTGCCTGAAGTTACAACCTTCACGGCACCCCTGCGGTCACGTGATCGTGATCTGGGTACTTGGCAACCAGCTTGCCCATACAACAGTTGCAGTGTCCTGGGGTCCTGTGGTGGCCATTTGCGACTTTCCCAGCTGGCTTCCGACAAGCAGAGTCAATGGGGAACCGCATGATTCACTTAACGACCGCTGCAAAAAAGATCAGAAAATCGGGTCCGGTCATGTGATGATTTGCCTAATGACTGCATTGCTTAGGGACCTAAATTCTGGTCCCAGCTGTGGTCATTAAGTGAGGACTACCTGTATGCGCCAAATGTGGTTAGTTTTAATCCTGGTTAATTTCTATGCAGCTCAGCACGCGACGCAAATGCAAGCGGTTGGGTGTTTTTGCTTTATTTATTGCTCAGAAAACAGATCGAGGGAGCAAGTTAAGTCAGCTGGGTGAACCCAGCCAGGAAGCGTCTCAGGGACTCGGGCACCCCCGAGCACTGTGGTCCCTGCCACGCGCTCCCGCTCTGTCTCTCGCAGGGAGATGATGCGCAATCCGAGTCTCCGCTCCAGACTCATCTCTGCCCCGAGCAACTTCAACCACCTGGTCCACGTCGGGCCGAGTGAAAAGCAGCACCGGCTGCAGGACCTGCACGTGGTGAGTAACCACATTTGTGCTGCGGCTACAAGCCCGGTTTCCCCCAGTCTCCCCCGCCTCCCTCCAGGCAGGCGATCCGAGCATGTTGCGCTAAGCCACGACACGGGCCGGCTCGCTTTTGACTGAGACGGTTGTGTGGGAGGCCAGAGTAAGGTGGAGCCGTGGTTTGGGGGGGGCTATACAAATCGAATAAACAAATAAATAAATAAATAGAAATAAATAAATAAATAAGACAGCCCAGCCCCCCAACTGCAAAGAGGGGCAACGGTTTGGCTCCACATTCTGGGGAAATCTGGGGGTGCCACAAAGGGATGCTGGCAGACCAGACGTGGCTGCTGGGTCACATTTCATACCCTCCTGGCTTAAGGCCACGTGTGAGTCCAACAGTTGTAATCTGCCAGCCAGAGTTGATGGTAAATGTGTTGCATCGCCTAGACCTGTGGTTCTCAAAGGGGGACCCCTGGGGGTCCCCAAGGCCCCTTCAGGGGTTCCGCAAAGGCAAATACATACCTTAAAACGTCTCAGTTTTAATTTCTAATACAAGGAGTATGGGTAACCCACATAAACCAAAGCTTTTTGGGGTCCTCAATCATTTTTAAGAATGCAGAGGGGTCTGATACCAAAATATTTGAGAACCTGGCCTAGACCTTTCTGGCTGAGAGCGAAAACCATGGTTGGACGAATAATGGTTTAGTGCAAAGAGGCAAATTCTTCAGCTTTGTGGCACTGGCACACGGAAGGAGCTGCCCCGTTATGACCTCAGAGCGCCATTTATTCTGCGTGCAAGAGTTTGTGGAGTTCCTTAAACAGCGGCCGTTGCCAATTCGGTCCGGGCCCTTCCAACCCAACTTTGTTTATTCTCCGCCCTGCAACCTTGATCCGTTTCCAGGCGCAGGAAGAGAAGAGGCGGGAGGCCGAAGTCCGAATGCGCTGCAGTAGCCTTTCTGAGACGCGGCGGCCCTCGCCTGCGGGCCACGATGGTGCCGCCCTGGGATCTGCGTCCTCCTGTAAGCAGCCCTGGGAGAGAACCACTTTTGACTCGGGGGGGGGAATGCTTTTAACTGGTCCTAGAGCGGTGGGGGCCGTGGAAGGAGTAGCTGCAGCTGCGGTCTTCAAACTCCCTAGAAGTCTCAGTAGTGGCCACGGTGGCAGGGGAATTCTGGGAGTTGAAGTCCACTCATCTGGGGGCCTCCGCTGGAGGACGACATCTCCCGCTGCTCCAGGCTCCGGCTAACTGCCCTCTTCTGTTCTCTCATCTCCACAGTAAGGCTGAAGTCGGGCAGTTCAGTCTCCGACGACTCCTCTGCTTCTCCACACTCTCTTCTCTCTGGGGTTGGCTTGCTGGAAGAGGTAAGGGACCGCGAGAACGGGGACCCCGTGCAGAACTGTAGGTTTCATTGATGCAGCAGCAGCGCTCACGGTGGCTGAGCGGAGCGCCGCCTCTGTGAAACCTTTTGGAAGCGCCCTTCCCGGTCCGCTCCCCTTCTCAGACGTCTCCTCTTCCTGCAACAGGTCTCGGATTCCGGTCTTCCCTCCAGCCCAAGAAGCACCACCTCCACATGACAGGAGGGGTCGGGGGCTGCAGGTGCCGGCCGTACCTCGCGGGCAACGGGGACGCTGGTGCCAATTTGCAACAAAACATCCGGCTCATCTGATGCGCCTGCTTGTCGCTATCCGGGGAGGGCACAGAGGAAGGATGGGCAGCGCCCGGGTCCTTGGGTCTGCTGCTGGAAAGCCACGCCTGTGCTGCACTTAATGCTGCGGTGGGACAGCGGATCCGTGCCCTCCCCGCCCTGCGCTCAGGAGATCCTTGAACCTTGGGGAAAACGGGAGCTGCGGCCTTGGGGCTCCCACCGCTGACACCATCTCTTCTCTGTCCCGCTTGGTGCACAAACACCCACCGAGTCAGGACGCCTTGCTTTGGTCAGAACACTTTTAAAGACCTTTTTAATGTTTACTTAAAAAAGAAAAAAAAAGCTAAGCTACTTCCAGCCATATTCTAAACGGAGGAGGTCTAACCTCTGGCAGTGGGTGAATGAACGCACATTAAAAAAATCACATCGGCTGCCTGAACGGTGCTGTTTCTGGGCGTCACAGAATAATTCCAGAGTAACTTGTGGAGTAACAGAGAAGGCATCTCGTTTGCCTCATTTCACCAAAATTTCGCCCCAAACGTGGCGTCATTCTCATTTTGTTTCTAAAGCAGTAAAATAATTGCGCTGAACCATCTCCTAGAGTTGTTTGCAAGCTATTTTACTAAAAAAGATTCTTGCTGCCGGCCCCCGCATAATTCTCAGTAGCCCTGAGCGAGCAAACCAAAATATTCCTCCCTCCCATCCTCGGTTGCAGAAAAGCTGCCAACCCACAAGTTTTATGCCTGGAGGGGAAGGCGATGCCTAACTTCTCCCCTCTTGGAATTAACCCATTTTCCAGATTTGCAAAACGACCACAATGAGCCAGCCACCAAAGGATTAAACGGCGTTTAACCGAGCTTAGCGTGCCAGGCAAAGGCAGTTGTTCGCTTTGCAACAGGCTCGGCTAAATGCAGCGCGTGAACCCAGCCCGAGGGGGCAGAGAGGTTGGCCGGGGATTGTGGGAACCCTCTTGAGCCTTTTTCACTGAAGGAGTTAATTTATTTCTCTGCTTCTGCATCAGCGGATGAAACGGGCGTGATCGATGCCCGCATGCACACACCATCCTGGAACTTTGCCGCTGCACAAAACACCTGATTCTGCCCAGAGAGAAAGACATGGCTTTGCAGATCCGGCACCCCCCCGCCCCCCCGGCTTCTGGAAGTCCGGTTTTAGCTATTTGAAGTCAGAGGGCGCAGCCGGTGGATGGGAAACGAGGGTGTGAAGCTGCTTGGCATGGGGATGGCACAGCCCCCACACCGAGCAGGAGAGGATGGGGGGCAACCATAAGCTTCCCTTCCCCTGTCAAAACTTCCAGTCTCTTCGAAGGCATCAAGCTGTCCAGACATTACAAAAAAAGGGGGGGGGGGCCGCCAGGCCAGTTTCCTGGCTCCCAACTTCATGGGTCCCCTGGCAGCTTTTTTCTCGGCCCGCCGGGCTTCCATTTCCTGCTTCCTCTCTTCCCGTTTCTTCCGGGCGAGCTCCGTCTTGCTGGGCCCTGCCAGTGCGGGAAAGAGAGAAAAAAGTTGCAGGCTGGCTCCAGAGCCCATCTCGGGGCAGCAGCCGCGGAGGGCGACGGGAGGGCACCGTACCTTGGTCCGAATCCAGCGCTGCCCAGTTTTCCTCAAGGGGCCATTCACGCAGAGCTTCGGTGTTTCTCTAGAGGAACACAGAACATCAGGCAGAAAAGGCTGGCCTGGCATTTCCACAACCCTAAGCCTCTAAGCCAGTGATTCTCAACCTTGGCCACTTTAAGATGTGTGGACTTCAACTCCCAGGATTCCAGCAAGGCTGGCTGGGGAATTCTGGGACTTGAAGTCCACACATCTTAAAGTGGCCAAGGTCGAGAAACACTGATTGAGACAAAATGAAGTTGTTTTTCACAATTTTGTCCACATTGGCTGGCAGTCCCCCATCCTGCCCCTTGATCACGGCCAGATTTAGGGGGCAAATGGGGATGCCAAGCCAAGGGTCACTCGGACGCCGCCCTGCCAAGCCCCTCCAGAAAGCGTACGAAATAGTAACGCTGAATATGACCCAAGGGGACAGCCATTAACTTCACAGAGAGGAATCGCCCACGGCATTTCATTCTCAAGTTAAATGCAAATTAAATGTTCAATGGAAGAGCATTGCAGAAGCAGGACCTCCCATGCTGGGACCCCTTTGGCTGGAAGTGGGCAAGCAGAGAGGCCGGGCCGCTGGAGCGCACCTCTGCACGCAGCGGGCCGGACTGCTGTTGCGATTCACATCTGTTGCATCGATTTACGCCATTTGTGTCGTGATGCCCTTAGGCAAGTGGCGCGTGACGACGTCCTTGCCCGAATGACGTAGATCACTCCATAACCTCTGATTAGTTAATGGTGGCTCAATGCAGCGGGCTCAGCCCAGCGGGCCGTGTGTGGCTCGCTTAGCTGTCCTTTGGGATGCTCTGACTCGCTCGGACCTCTTGCCTGAACCCCAAGAGCAGGACCAGCTGAACAAACCGTGGTTCCATTAACCAGGGGTGCTTTCCCATGACGAACCTAATCATGGTTTAATCGGCCCAACCCAGGCGGCCGTCCCCAGGGCCACGCACCTGCCTCTCTGCTGTTGGCTTCCCAGCGAGACAGGAAAAAGGGTCGGGCTTCTCCCCGGGGCCGGCGCTCCCCCAGTTGTATTCGCTTGCCGGCTTGATCTCCTGAGGGGCCACGGCGCCCCTGGGGCCGAGGCCGGAGTGGGGCGGCTCCTCGTAGCTCCTGCCCCGGCTGTCGTCCGTGGGGGCAGCCGCCCCCTTTCTAGGGCTCCAGGAGGGCTCCAGGTCCCAGGCAGAGGCGCTCCAGTCAGACTCCTGCGTCTCGGGGGCTGTGGCGGCGGCCTATGAAACAGCAGACAGGTTGGGCGGGCTGGAGTAAGAGTTAGAAACCCTGGATGAGTCTCTTCTCTGCAACTGGAGGGGAAAAAAAGGCCCAGGTTTTCAGCGCACTTCCAAAGACCCATCTGTGCAAAATCTAGAGAAAAAATAAAGTTTCTAGTCCCCATGAAAGCAGTCCAGGGCAGAAATTTCTGGAACAACCTGAGAAACAAGGAGGCATTGCCATATCGTTTCCAGAGACTTGATGGGGACACTAACCCCACAGGTGCCTTCTTCTCCCCACAACATTCCCCCCCATGCCCTCCAACCTCATTCTAACTAAAACTGCCTTCAAGCTGAGCTCCTTTTTTGGGATTTACATTGGCCCATCCAGGTAGTTTTCTCACCAATATGGCTTTCCTATGGGATGCTTTGTGACTGCCGTGGCTTACCACATGGTCTCCCATCCAGGTCCGAACCAAGCTTCTGAACCTGGGCAAGGCGAGGCTTTTGCTGCCATCTGCTGGTTCGTCATTCTAACTACACCCTGGGAGAACAAGGAAGCCCAAGCCGGGAACCCGGTTAGTTCGAGGCAGCCTGAAGCAGACTTACTGTCCTGCTGCTGAACATCTGGGCCGGTTCCGCCCAGCCGGGGCTGTTCCAGTCGTCTGGGCTGGGCTGCCTCTTTGGCTGCTCCGCTTCTTGCTGCCGATGAAAAAGGAGAAAAGAGAGTTCAGCAGTACGGCACCCACCGCCGCGTATAGCTGTTCCCTTGCAATTCTTGAAGGCGGAACAGGATGCACCAGGGAGGTGTGTGCGTGCGCGTGTCACAGGCCACGAAGGTGCAAAACAGGGCTAGAGCTTTGATTGCACAGTCCTGGCTTCTCTCTTTGTTTATACACCATGTTTGCATAGCCGCCCATCTCGCAGACTTGAACAAATAAAATAAAAAGCAGCCCCAAACAACCGGCAATGAAAAAAATCAGCAATTAAAACACACAGTCCGACTTCTCTGGCCCTTCCCTCCTGCTCGGGCAGGCAGCCCCGGCGAAGCAAACGCTCGGGTGCCCAGAGAAAGGGAAGACTGGCTGTCAAACAATAAGAAGGAAAGGTCAGATGGGATGGCAGGGAACGCCTGGAGGAGGGGGACAAAGGCCAGGCCGGGGCATCCGTGCCCGCTGACCGTCCGGGGAATGGAGATCGCGTGGTGGGCCCTAAGCCACCCAAGCCGTTGCCGATGAAAAGAAGAAATGAATTGTGGCAACACGTCATCTCTGATCTAAGCCGCCCCCCCCGCTCTTACCTCCAAGCTGCCCCAGTCTTCATCGTCCCACTGGTCTGCCGCGCTCTCCTCTTCCCCCACATCCTCCTCCACGTCCCACCGGCTCGAGCGGGCAGGGGCTGCTCCCTCGGAAGCAGGAGGGCGCCCAGTCCCTTAGAAAACATGAAATAAAAAGCAGTAGAAGAGGGAAACATCCTTGTCTGGTTTGAAAGAGCAACTCCGGAGACTTTGCGGTGGTGGCTCCCCGGGGCTGAAATCCATTCCAATTCTGCAGCCGGGCAATACAGGTTGTGCCCGAAGTAAAAACTGGCTGACTGAGGGATTCTTCTCCTTAAATGCTCAGTGGACCTGCTGCTTTCAGGCAGTGCAAAATGGTCTGTGGTTTAACCAACCCGTTAAACAACCACCAACCCGCTTTTGCACCCTCCCCACACTGAGGTTCCAACCATTATCATTAGCTGGCTTGATGGCAGTTGCCTTGGGGCCCCTGGCTTTAAACGACTGCCGACTGATGTAGAAAAAATGTATGAATAAAATGAATAAAAGGGCCCTATTTCAGGAGGCCAGACTTCCCCCTCCCCTTGGTGCCATCCAGAAGGGCAGGACTCGGGTTTCCATGATTCCCAGCGGGGAGAGCCACCATCTCTGGGCTGATGGCATTCTGGAAGTTGCAACGTTCGCGGGAAGCACATTCACACACACTTGCGCTCTCACGTGCGCACACATGCTGAATTCAGCACAAGGACAGAATCATGAACGACAGTTCTGGGTTTCCTGATGTGCGAGGCCGGAAAAAGCCGAAACAAGATTAGCACGTTGGAAAGTTGTTGCCTTGGCATTCACACCACGATGCCAATTAAGCATGCCACGTGAACAGGGCTGCATTTGTTCTATGTGCAAACTGGCCGTGCTCACACAGCCCACCTACCCAGGGCAGGTCCTCCTTGGCTCCGTTAGCGTTCAACTTAGCTGGGCGATGGTTGGTTTGGTGAACATTACTGCCCCACTGACCTGATTTGGGGGGCTCCAACGGCGCCTTGGCGGGGGCATCCTCGGCCACCTGCTCTGCCTCTTGTGTTGCCCCAGCGTTTGTCCGGATCAGCTTTGACGTGAGGGACGAGACCCCGGTCACGGCCCACCCAGCCCAGCTCGCTGCTGAGCCCACCCCGGGACTGGCGGAGGCAGCCTGGATGTCCTTCTCTGGAGCGGGAGAGAGCAAGAGGGGCAGAGCCTGGCTCAATCCAGCCCGTGGCAATGCCAGGAAATGCTTTTCCTCCAGTGACCCTGATCCATGTGGCCTGAATGTGCTGGGCGGGACCATGCATTCTCAGTGGAGGCGGGGCCAGAGCGCTAAGCAGGAAAAGCCAGAGTGGGCGGGGTTTGCCAGGCAGGCCAAGGCCTGTCCACAGCCCTTGGGTGCCAGTTCCCCACCCCGGCCTCCTCCGACACCCAGGCCCGAACTCCAAACCCAGCCATTTTGCTCTATGGACTGTCAAGACCATCTCACCAAGCTCGGAGAGCTGAGATGGGTCTTCTGAAACCGTCTCCAGTTTAGTCATGAAGCTCCGGATGGCTTTGAAGGCCTAAGGAAATCACCAGAGGGGGAAAGAGAGCAAAGGAAGAAAGATGAGAAGGGGGTTAAGAGAAAAGCCGACACAACGCGAAGCCCACCTCCAGCTCTGCAAACTACAATCGACTGAACCCTGGCTTAATGGGGTGTGTGATTCCAGATCCTCAGATGGCCATCCTTTGCGTTTCCACCCAACAGCGGGATCCCGCGGGGAGGATGAAGATGGCGATGAAGATATTTACCCCCATTTTAACCAGGGGAGGCTGATTCAGCGGCTAGGTTCCCACACTGCAGCAACCCAGAGTTGTGTAGCCCTGGTTTACCAAATGAAACAAAAGCGGCTACATTCACACATCACACTAAG